CAAATTGTTTGATGTCATCATGTTTTGGGCTAAATGCCATATTTGGGCTTCGTGCCAACTATTTGGACCCTTAGGGGATTTTACTGCCATTTCCTCACTGTTTTGACTATATATTTGTACTCAATCACGCTATATTTTACTGTTTTCATAACTCAGCCATGTTTACTCCGTTTTAACACCTTAAATGATATTTTTAAAGGATATTTTGAGCTGAGCATCATGTTTACTGTTGCCCGAGTGGCTTATGAGATTCTGACTGAGCAAGGCCGGGGGCCTGTATTGTGAGGATACTTTTGGGTCGGGCTGCACGCCGCAGCGTTGATACACTGATTATGATTATGAGGCCGAGGGCCTGAGATTGTACGCCACGAGGTGGCTTGTTGATATGAGGCCGAGAGCCTATTGATGATGCCACGAGATGGCTTGATATTGCGCTTGGGCCGTAAGGGCCCCCTCCCGGAGTCTGTACACCCCCAGTAAGCGCAGGTACCCATTGTGATATGAGATATAACCCGAGGGGCTGGTATTGTTCTATGTTATTGCCCGAGGGGCTGATTCCGTTGTTATTGTGCCCGAGGGGCGGTTTTTATGTGTTTACCTTTTTCTAGCTGCCTTTCATTTATTTGTTTAACTGCTTAAAAGGTGCTTTATGAGATTACACTATTTAATTTGTATTTTACTGATTTTTACTCTGCCTCTTATACCATATTGTTGTGTTTAACGTGATTTTGTGTCGCTCAATCTTTATTTATTGTTATTACTCACTGAGTTGGAGTACTCACTTTACTCCCTGCACCCCTGTGTGCAGATTCGGGCGCTACAGGTCCTGGTTGCGAGGGTTGAGAGCTTCTAGCAGACTTCGGAGATTCACTAGGTAGCCCTCTATCTTATTTTCTCCTATTTTAGTTATATAATAGTGGCGTAGACTCTTTCAGACTTGTAGATTTTATGATAGATGCTCATGACTGGTGACACCCCGATGTCGGGCTTTGTTTGGTTGTTTTTCCGCGAATTGTGCTATTCACTTTTATTTTGGGATTATTATTATTATGTTAAAGACTCAAATTGTGTTGTTTTAGTGGTTTAAAATGAATTGTGTTGTGTCGGCTGGCCTTGTCTTCACGAGAAGCGCCATCACGACCGGGTCCGGGTTTAGGGTCGTGATACCACATGGCATAATTAGTTACCAATTAGTTATTAGTTATTATTTTTGAATTTAAATATATAAAAAAAATGAAAATAATAAAAATTAAAAAACTACCATCTATATATATATATATATATATATATTTGAATTAATAAATATAGATATCTTATAATTAGTTATAATAAAAAACGAAACTATAAATATATAAAAAAAATAACTACCCATTTCAAATTGGGTGGGGTAGTTTCAAGTTGGAGTTTTAAAATTATTTTAAAATAAAAAACAAAAAATAAAAAAAATTAGCTATAATAAAAAAATGAAAAAAGTATATATATATATATATTCTTTATTTAAATTAATAAATATAGATATCTTATAATTAGTTATAATAAAAAAACGAAAATATAAATATATAAAAAAATAACTACCCATTCAAATTGATTGGGAGTAGTTTCAAGTTGTAGTTTTTAAAATTTTAAAATAAAAAATTTTAAAAAAAATAATTAGCAATAATAAAAAAACGAAAAAAAGAAGAAGAATAACTACCCATTCTAATTGATGAGTAGTTTTAAGTTGGAGTTTTAAAATAATTTTTAAAATAAAAACGAAATAAAAAAAAATAAAAAATTACCAATTCAAATTGGGGAGTAGTTTCAAGTTGGAGTTTTAAAAGTATTTTAAAACAAAAAAAAGAAAATAAAGCAAAAAGAAAACTTTTGATTCAAATTGTGGAGTAGTTTCTTTCTAATATTTTAGTGTGTGTGTGTGTATTAATTGGTTACTTTGTTTGAATTAATAAAGATAGATATCTTATAATTAGTTATAACAAAAAAACGAAAATATAAATATATAAAAAAATATCTTATCATTCAAATTGGGTGGGAATTGTTTCAAGTTGGAGTTTTAAATTTATTTTAAAATAAAAAAACCAAAAAAAGAAAAACAATATTAGCTATAATAAAAAACCAAAAAAAAGAAGAAAAACTACCCATTCAAATCGGGGAGTGGTTTCAAGTTGGAGTTTTAAAATTATTTTAAAATAAAAGAACAAAAAAATAAAAATAAAATTAGCTATAGTAAAAAAAACGAAAGAATAGAATTAATGGGGCACCTGTACACCAAAATGGAGTGGTTAATTTCAAGCAATGTATTTCTGACATTGGAGTAGATTGATAAACAAAAAAGGGATGCAGTTTTCATGGAGTAATAAGAGAGGGGCTGAAGATAGGATATACAGTCATATATACTGGGCGTTTGGTAATGCAGAATGGTTTTAGCTGTATGCAGATATTGAAGCAATTTATCTAGTGCCTGGATGCTCTGACCATACACCTATCCTATTGAACACAGAAGTACACAGAATGATGGTGAGGAAACCTTATAGATTCCTGACTATACTGTTGCAACAGGAAGAGTATAAGGCAGTAGTGGAACATATATGGGGGCAAGACATACAAGGGCATACTATTATGCCATTTGTAGGAAACTTAAACTACTGGAGATTCATGCTAGGGGGAATACAGAGACACTATTCATCAGTAGAGGTAAAACTCAAACAAATGAAGGAGGATCTCAAAGTCATACGACAGAAACTTAATGATGATCATCTGAATCCACAACAGATAGAGCAAGAAAAGAAGTTTCTGATGCTACTTGGGAAATAGGATGCAGTACATGAAAAGGTTTTAAGACAATGTATTCCATTGGTTGATAGAATTACAGGAAGGGTCAGATGCTGGACTGCCAGATTTTTATCATATGCAGGGAGAGTTCAGCTAATCAAAAGTGTGTTGTTTGAAATGCAAAACTATTGGGCACAAGTTTTCCCGATTCCAAAAAAAGTGCATGATATGGTTACTAGGATTTGTAGGAACTTTCTATGGCATGGAAGCATTGAAGGAAAGAAAGCTCCTATAGCATGGGGTACAATTTGTAAGCCAAGAGCAGCAGGAGGACTGAACATTATAAACTTCTCTATGTGGAATAGAGCAGCAATAGGCAAATTGTTATGGGCAATTGCACTAAAAAAAGACAAGCTTTGGGTTATATGGATACATAATCACTATATAAAGAAGAAGGAGTTAGAGAACATGGAAACTCCTAAACAGACTAGCTGAGTGGTAAGGAAAATATTTGAAGCTAGAAAATGGCTAACTACTGGACTGCAAGAACTGGAACTATATGCTGTACAGGGGAAGTATACCATCAGCAAAGCTTATAATTCATTCATACCACAGTATCCAAAAGTTACTTGGAAGACATTGTACTTGACACAAGGTATGATCCCTAGACATCAATTCATTTTGTGGATGGCAATGCATCAGAGATTAGCAATTGTGGATAGGCTGATCAGATGGGGGATAACAGTGCCTACTGAATGTGTTCTTTGTATGAATGACGAAGAGGAAACTCATGATCACTTGTTCTTTGAATGCTCATATTCGAAGTTCATATGGTAGCAGCTTTTGAGTCTGTTTGGAATTGATCGACAAGTAGGCAGATGGCATGAAGAAATTGAATGGATGGCTACAAAAACAAAGAGCAGGAATACAAAATAGAAGATTTTGGGAAGTGCCTTTGCAGCAACAGTATATCATACATGGATGGAAAGGAACCTACGAAGATTTCAACAGACAAGAAAAGAAAGTAGGGATAGAGCTAGAGAAATTGTATTGCATTTGCACATTAAAGGAGATAACTACTGTAAATGGAGAGTTGGTTTAGATAGGATAAATAGGTATCCATGTTAGTATAGAGTTTAAGTTCCGGATGTGGAACTTAAGTGACAAAAAGATAGGTTATTTTTGTAAGACTCGTCTCTAGAGTCCAATGAGCGGGTGGATATACATATTTACACTTGGTTAAATAAAAATTCTCAGTTTAGCCAAAAAAAAAACAAAAGAAGAAGAAGAAGAAAAACTACCCATTCAAATCGGGGAGTAGTTTTAGGTTGGAGTTTTAAAATAATTTTAAAATAAAAATAAAATAAAAAAAATAAAAAATTACCAATTCAAATTGGGCAATAGTTTCAAGTTGGGGTTTTTAAATTATTTTAAAATAAAAAAAGAAAATAAAGCAATAAAAAAACTTTTGATTCAAATTGTGGAGTTGTTTCTTTCTAATATTGTAGTGTGTGTGTATATATATATATATATATATATATATATATATATATATATATATATATATATATATATATATATATAAAATTAT